CCATGCCTCACCCTAGTTTCTACCTACATCCAACAAAAGCCACAAGACTAGCAATGGGATGGTACCCCACACTTGGGAGAGAGTTCCACTCAGGAACTCTGACCTTCTTTTCCCTGAAACTTCTACCTCTAGATCTATAGTAAACTTCTTCCTATGACTCACTCGCCTGTGGTCCACGAATTATTCTTTGACTTCAAGACAAGAACATGGAGCAACTGACTCAGTGGAAGGTTGTGTGTAACCAAGAGCTTTTGGCATGCTAACTAAAGTCCTCATGAGGCCAGGAAACCTCCGTCCCACTCAAAGACTCTACTTTGACCCCTCTCACTATTTTCAGTGTGAAGAATCCCTGCTAAGGTCATCACCCAACTGGATAGAACAACAATGAAAGATCAAGGAAGCTTGAACACATAGGATCAAGTGAAGAACGTACCCTAACTAGTATACTTGAATCTCAAATAGCATATGCTTCTGCTCTGGATTCTGACTCCTGCATCTTCCCATTCTCACACAGTCTCCTTGCCTGGATGATGCTATCTGTCATACAGACATATTCTGAGGGAGGATATTTTGCAAATGAGGAGTGGGGAGGGAAAATAAAGAATGTGGGAGGCATCGTGGAGACCAAGAGGTCATTCTATCCCTTGGAACTGGAGCTACAGACAGCGTTCAGCTGCCGTGTGTGCTGGGAATAGAACCCGGGTCCTATAGAACAGAAGCAGTGCTTCGAACCACTCTCAACTACCTCTCCAGCCCCAAGAACTGCAAGTCACAATCTTCCTAGAACTACAATTTACAAATCTGCCACAATATGACCAACGTAGTATTTCTTTCACTTTCACTTGTATAAAGTTGGGGAATGTGTCTCAAAGGCACACACTTATTTTCTGTGCAGAAATACATAATGAATTCCATTGAATTGACTACAAAGTGTAACAAATGTTTTAATAATGAAAAGTTTAAAAACAACAGTGCTTCTAGACAAAGCTATTTTTTTTAAGAAGTCCTGATTAATGAGACATATGTCAAGAAAAATTACTGTAATGGTGAATGCTGATTCAGGAGCTTATTTTTATTAAGTAGTTTATAGTGAAGGCTGGGACTATTTTTTCTATTTATAGTGGCATCTCTGGTTAATTACCTTGTAATGTATTGTGACATTAATGCACTAGTAAACTACTGGAATTTACACCCCTATTCAGTAATAAAACTCTGTAAATTGAAGAATGCACATAAAGTCATTGCAGGCATAAATTATGTGACCAAATGCCATGTATGGTCACATTGGACTTAAAGAACAGAAACTCTCAAATTTACTCATTAGTGGGTAAGTGCCACTGAATTTATATTCAACGGCCACTTTACAGCCACAGAGAGTACAACATTTTACTCAAGAGTGTGTTGTAAGTTGTTACACTATTTTCCTTTGGGTTCCTAAGAACATGCTGGATATAATTCAACTGCACATAATCAAAAAGAAACATCTGAAAAACAGGCAGAGGAATACCATAAAATACATTCTCATAAAGAATGACAATGCCCAGGATAGATCGTCTGAGCATGAGGAGCCATAAAGACAGTCATTCTATGAGGGCAGGTCCCCTCCATATTGCATTTCTACTGATGCCATCTTTATTTGGGTCCTGTTTAGGCAACCATGTTGAAGAGAACTCATGGGTGTTGCTACTTTGACTTTAAAGCTTTTTTTTTTTTAAGTTACATAAAAATAAAATTTCTATATAGTCTGAGGTAAGTTTTAAGCATTGGTGACTGTGGGTGGTCATCATTCACTCTTTCCCAGCTGAAAATCACCCATCAACATGAAAGAGAAGCCATTTGAAATTGAAATCCAGATTTTAACAATGGCTACCTACTTTCCAGGTGAATTGCTCAAGGTCCGGTATGAGGCAGGTGCATCACATGTATTGTTTCATTCTAATGATCCTGCCAGACTAGCCTAGTATTGTTTTTGTAATACAGACAGCAGATCAGCCTGGTTCTAGAGCCTGCTCTCTTCCCATACACTACTGCCATGAACTCAAATAACAGTAACAGCTACATCTTATGCAGGGTCCATCAAACGCCAGACTCTGTGCTCCATGTCCCCCACCCTCACAAACAACTTCAATTCCACCTTCAGGATTGTGAAGTGGTTGAAGATAGTCAATTCAAAAGCAACTAAACTCTCCAAATTGGATATTTTCAGAGTCATTCTAGATTTATTTCATTTTTACATGGCTTTACGGATTTCTTAGCCTCCTCTTTCTCATGTATCCAGGCTTCTCTGAATGGTGGCTTTTCCATGACAAGAGGTAACTGACTTCTGGCCTCTCAAGTCTGAGGTTGGCTAGGTGACGTGCTGTGACAAGCGAGACATGAGCAATCCTGACTTAAGCAGAGGCTCACCCTGAAGCTAGGCTTCCTATTAGAGGAAACACTTCTGCCGTGACAGGAAAGGCGGTAGACCAGACTGAAGAACAACAGGAGAGGCATTAGGCCAATACCTATGTGACAAGACATTTGTTAAAAATGTGGGAACCATGCTCTTACAAAATCAGCCAGACTGCTGACTACTCAGCATCTAGCTACATCAGCACCAAGTCCATTCAACCAACTCTCAGAGCAGTAGTATGGTTGCTGTCTAGATTTATTAAGTTTTGGAGTAGATTTTTTATCCGTTCCAGCCATGCTATTTTTTTTTTTGGGGGGGGGTTGGTTTTGGTTTTTCAAGACAAGGTTTCTCTGTATATCCCTGGCCATCCTAGAACTCATTTCCTAGAACATGGTGGGCTTAACCTCACAGAGATCCGCCTGCCTCTGCCTCCTGAGTGCTGGGATTAAAGGCATGCGCCACCATGCCCAGCCAGCCATGACTTGTAAATAATCTTTCTCAAATTATACTGGGGCCACATCTAAATAATGGAATTATGATAAAGTACTCAACTTGTTAAATAGTCCTTCACCCTTGGTAAGAACAATATTCTAGTAATTAGCATGCATAAATCAATCTATTGATTCACATTCATGCCTATTATTCATGAGGGATTCTGTTGTTATCAGAAGGTATCTGAATCACTTTGTGTTGCTATATCAAAATATTTAAGACTGGGTAATTTAAAAAGAAGAAAAAATCTATTTTCCCACAGTTTCGGGAGCTCAAAAATTCAAAAGGCTATCAGACTCAGGAGAAGTGTGTTCTCCATCTAAGATGATCATCCTCACGCTGGAAGGTAGGAGCACAATGGAGTACCTGGCTAGTCTCTTCCCCTTTTATTCTAGCATCAATATTGGTGAGGGTAGAGGCCATCCCTGTTGGACTGAGGGCTTAATTTCAACATAAAATCTGGAATGAATACAGCTTCTCAAGCTACCTAAATAGTCAATCGCCACAGCAAGCTCAGAGGTACTTCTGCCCCATCCCCATAATAGTCAGCCAGATACCACACCTCTGATATGTTTTAGATCCTCTCCTCACTGCTGGCATAATTCCAGTTAAGTGCCCCATCATCTTTCAGCTCAACTATGGGAGACACCTTTCTTAGCCAACTGCTTACCCAAATAGCTCATCATCTACCCTGACGCCAGAGAGGCTATCTTCTTCTCCAGAATTGACACTATGATACATCCTCCATTTGGTAGGAAATACCCCAAAGAAGCCTTTTCCCAGGACAAAGTACAAACTCTATGGTATGGAATATGGAATCCTTTATAAGCTGTCATATTTTATCACTTTAACCTTCCCTTCTAGCACTCTCTCTTAAAAAACAACCAAAACACCTCAGACATTCTGTGTTGGTTCATTGTGCTTTTCTCCATGGGATTCCCTTATAGACCCTGGATCTTGGTCTCTTGTAAACCAGAAAAGTCATTTTAGAAGTGTTTACTCTATTGCTTTTCACTGTAGGTCATTTCGACAGAAATCAGTGGAGTGCTTTCAGCTATGTATGCAATGTACACCCAGCCCCGTGGCTGGGAAACATTAATTCCAACACTATGTCCTCCAGGAAAACACAGAGAAGGGCAGAAAACATGCACACTGGCCAAGAGCATAAAATGTCTCAGGGGAAATAACCAAGGGAATCATGGGGGAGCTTGAGCATAGAATGCCTCTCTGGACGTCAAGGAACACTGCCAGACAGGTACAGCCTTCCGATCCAGGAGAATCCTACATGATGCAAAAGAGATAGGGCTTCTGCTAGAAGGAACTGCTCAAGCAGGAGGCATGCTCAAAAAACTCACACCTACTGACTTTCGCCAAGCCTTTGATGGCTCTGCTAGAAAATACACCGTATACTTCAAACCAAAGTATTAACCGTGGCATAGCTGTGAGTTGTAAAATTGGACAGTATGACAGTGGAACATGAGGTTTGAACACTAGGAAACATTGTGAAGAGTGGGGCCTGGAATTCCTTTAAAAACAGAAAAATGAATTCTATCTTTACATAGTAAGCTAACTAATATTACCTTTCAGTTTCTATTGTGCATGAGTAATAAAAATATTTTCAAATGAGTTTTGTTGACATCCATGGAAATAGTTTTAATTTATATGATTTTATAAATCAATAATAATATTGAAATTACAAAGACATAAATTTTTTTTATAAAAAATACTAATTTCCAAGGAAAATTTCTTTCACTATGACTTTGGTCATGACACTGAAAACAAATACACAATTATAAAAACATCTGATGATAGAAAACTAAATCTGAGCCATAATCTGGTGGCTTGACACTCTAAATAGTGATTCAAATAAACCTCTATTTAAATGCCTCAGGATACCTATTTTTTGAATGAATGGATTCATTTATTTCTTGAAACAGTATTTCATACTTCTGTTTATAAGTAAGATTTTCTGACTCGTTATTCATACATTACTTTTCTCATTCATTTTTAAATAGGTACTGTACTACAAGTGTATATTACAACAACATCCATTTTCATTAATTACCCTTACTCAGCACTGAACACTGCTTCTTTTCCTTAAATCAAGAAAACTCACCTCGAACCGGGGGTCTTTCTAGGTCAGAGTCAAGGTGAATCGGTGGAGAGATGTAGGAAACCTGTCCATGATGCACTGGCCCTGTGAACACAAAAGGAAATATTAAGACATCATAGGAACCATGATATGGCTCAGAGAGTAAAGGTACCTGCTACAGATCCCCCGGCCAATATCATGGAAGGAGAGAAAAGAATCCTACAAGCTGTCCTTACTGTCTAACTTTAATATTAACGGCCTGACTGTTCACACACACACACACACACACACACACACACACACACACACACACAAATAAATAATAAATACATTGTAGCTGTCTTTTACTTTAAAATTTTTATGGTGTTCTATCATTTTTATTCCACACAGAAAAAGTATCTAATGTAGATTATAAAATGATATGCTTAAACATGAACCAAACATCACCCAATTAAATTGATTCTTCTCTCTAACCAAGATGGATTTTTTCTACTTTCTTTTCCTCTCTTTCTCTCTTGGTTTCTTTTTCTTTCTTTTCTAGACAAGCTCTTGTGAGGCCCAGGCTGACTTTAAACTTGCAACATAGTCAAGAATGACTTGCTTCTATCTCCCAAGGGCTGGGACTGGAAGTGTTTGTGTGTGAGTGTGTGTGTGTGTGTGTGTGTGTGTGTGTGTGTGTGTGTGTGTGTGTGTGTTTGATATTTAGTTTTCCCTTCAGTTACATTATAGATGATTATGAAGTGGTAAACTTAGTTTTAAGAAAACCTCAAAACGTCAGAAACTTAAATATATCTATCTGAATACTTTGAAGTTATTAAGAATAAACTGACTTTCAGTGCTGTCCTCTGGATCCAGTATTGTAGACAGTGCCAGCGGCATTTATTTTCCTGTCCATCAATGTTAAACAATTTTCAGACTGGCACTCAATGTAATATCTGGATGGCACTTAGGATGCTGAAACCCTGACAAACATATTTTTCCTTAAGGCATTTCTCCCATAGTTTGAAGAGAAAACTATTCTATCCTGCTTGTTGTAACTTGATGGAAAAGAAAGAACTAGCTAAAATTTAAACAGCATGAAGATGGGTTCATTCCCTATTCTTGGAAAACATTCTACTCCCTCACACACTTCTTTGTAATAAGTGTTGTTTTATAAATAAAAAAAAAATCAATGTTAATTTGAAAACTAAAATGATCTTTTTTTTAAAGTTCATTTATTTCCCTAGTCTTGGCAACGTAATGCAATTATGTCCCCCATCAAGAAACACAAAAAAGAAGAAAGACTGATGTGAACCAAAAAAAAAAAATTCTAATGCTCAAAGCAGCTATCACTTGTACTGATGATCCAATAAGCAATTAGGATTCTGAAGCAAGAAAGAATAATTACTGAGTCATTACATTTTCTGAAGCTACTTCATACAAAGAAGATTTGGGCAGAAGTGGAGAAGCCACCACTTTCTTCCTACATGGGAATATGTAGTTATACTTTTACACATTTACTATAGCAATTTACAGAGTTGTTAATCTCTCTTCCTAAACAAGGAAAGTTAATGATACATAGATTATGATAACAGTTAGAGTAACCTTCCCGTTTCAAGTAATATTCGACTAGTAATAAACGCCGCTGATTCCTCTTACGAGGCACATTTCAAATAATTAATATGGCTCCCTGTTGATAGGAGCTGCTGTTGCTCACAGCGTTTTCCTCACTAACAGTAGAGATGGCAGAGCTGATATAATGTACACAGTTCCTCAGAATGGTAACTAAGAATATTGCAAATCCACTGGCCGTGTTTCAGTGGAGTACTTAAAGCACTATTACAAAAGGAATAAGTTACCAGTCTGTGCTTAATATGCTTTATTAAAAAGTTCAGATTAGCTTAACTAGAAAACTACCTGTTCAGATTCACTTACACAGTTGACTGTAACAACATTTTTGTTTGTAAAGTCCAGTATCATTTAGGTGTGAATCTGTTTAAAAGGCTAATTCTTGTAAATAAAAATAATATATCATTTACTTGGTATTTATACCCTCAGTAATCTCACCGTATGAGGTAATATCGATTTCATGTCTGTTACTGGACCATGGTTTTTACCATTTTGACAATAGCTACCAGGCAGCTACAGGTATATTACCATCACCATGAAGACTAGGTGCAACATAATTGTGTACATATTTTAAACCAAAGAAAGAAACATGAAGAAATAGGCAGCTTTGTCAAGCACCTGCACGGCTAGAAGTGTTTTGATCAAAAAATGATGTATTTTCCCTCAAAGAAAATCTCAGTATATACTAAACCATGGGAAAACATGAACCAACTTTAGAGAGATACAATGAATCTTTGTAACTGTCCTTCTTATATTCAGTCCGGAAAAAAAATAGGTAACTCATAGTTTGATTCTCTTCTGGGCCCATAGGTATAGGGAGTACAGAGATTACACTACATACCCATGGGCACTGAGGCAAGGACTATTGGAAGCTGCCTTGCCATTATATTCTCTCTCTCTCCTGGGAGAAAGCTAAGCTCTGACTTGGATAACAGACACTAGAAATTATATAGCTTGCTGCTGACTGGTTTGTTAGCATCAATCATATAATTTGAAATAATTTTTACTGCACTTTAGATTAGTGGAAGTCATATATCTATCTCCACAAAGCTACATAAAAATATAATGCCTTCCTTACTGTGTGGCTAACCAGATTATTCACCAGAGCATGGAGAGAACAATTTGCAGTTTGAAATGTCACAACTGAGTCTACAAAGCTCTCTCTTTTTCATTAAGAATTATTTCAAGGGGACTGGAGAGATGGTTCAATGTCTAAAATGATTGACTGCTTTTCCAGAGTAGCAGGCTTCAATTCTCAGCACCCATAGTGGTTAACAGTGGTTGGTAACTCTAGTTCCAGGGGATCTGAGATTCTCATAGGGCCTCCAATTACTGCACATATATAGCACACAGACACACATGAAGTCAAAACAACCATACACATAAATTTTTTTAAAAGTATCTCCAAAGGCAGAATTAATTTGAAAAAGTGAAATTCAATAATTATTTTAAAATACAGTTCAAACTATTAATAAATGTCACAATAACTTCTCTTAGACGTTTAGGGCTGGGAATGCTTCTTGTTTGTAGACAGCTTACCTATGGTGTAAGGTCCTGAATTCAATTACCAAGAGAAAACAATTGTTTTTTAAACAGTTAAAAAGAAAAAAAAAGAAAAAAGAATCAGGAAAAAACTTGGCAAACACCTCTTGTTTTAAAGAGGTTTGAAGAGTTCTCTTAGATAAGGACCTTATCTGCCCTTTCATCATATCTGCTGAGGTCTGCTCTCCCATACTTTCTTCAGCCTGGTCTTGAAATCTTAACTTACACATTCAAATGTGCAACACCTCCAACTATTGCTGCTCTACTTTCCAAATTAAAAATATCTTTTCTGTCCATTATTTTCCTGAATTTTAGTTTATGTTTTCCCTGAATTTTGAAGAAAAAAAATTGTTGAAATTTTGATTTCAATTACATTAAATTAGAGAAGAAACATTAAAATTATTGGATTTTATATTTTTTAAAAAAGATTCCTAGGCATATTTTGTAGTACTCTACTTCCAATCAAAGTAAAAGTTTGACATTTTCTTGATAACTTCGTCCTGTTTTTATTTTTGGAAGGAACCTCAAGGACTTTATTTTCTTGGTCCATGGAGTGGTAAGAGGACACATTAACTAAGTATATTTGTTAATGTCTGCTTATGAATAGTTTTTGCTTCTTACTATCCTGTTTTTTAAAGCTGAGCAGATATACTGAAAACACTATAATGACTTTCTGTTGTATTTAGATATTAAGTTTCATCTATATATTCATATTTTTATTTTTTTATGCTCCAGAGCTTTAAAATGTTCAGGCTGACTTACAGGTTTTACAGTTTAGAAGGAGGGTTCCCTAGTGTTTCTAATGTCATTTTTCCTTCCCAATGACCGTCTCAGAATTCACTGAAGTGGACGGTGAATGCACACTTCCTTCTTTCTACAAGAAGTATGTGGCTACAGATGGAGCTCCTGACAGTCTGGTGAAGAATGGAAGGGTTGTGTACTCCAAGTCACTGGTGGGAATGACTAACAAGATTTTCCCATAAAGCATGGTGTCGTGACCCACAGCACAGTGAGTGTACCTCCTGGTGAGTAAGGGAAATTTTTATAGACCAATGAGAACTGGAGAGAGGAAGTGCTAGTCTGTTTGGGTTTTTATTATGGATACCAATCTGAATGTTCTCAACTTGGTTATTGGAGAGAGAGGGAGGGGGAGGGAGAGAGGGAGAGGGAGGGAGAGGGAGGGAGGGGGAGGGAGGGGGAGGGGAGGAGGGAGAGAGGGAAGGAGAGAGAGAGAGACTGACTATTGTGCCTGGGTAGTAGGGGACTGAAACAGCTATCAAACTGAAAGCAAGATGCAGCATCTTGTTATCCCATGAGTCCTGCAACATAAATACCATATTACTAAAGAAATGACAAATTGAGAAAAATAAGGAGAAGGGTGCAGAATATGCTAAAGTTTCCAAGAGAATGATTATTTTAAGCCAAAGACAACTGAGAATCAACACGTGTTGAATACTTCTCTGTCCATCTCCCTATCTATCTAAAAGCATAGTGTGCATTTCCATTGAAGGAGCCAATGGAGGAGAGGCCCTTTTCATGGAATGTGGATGTGTCTGTATCACAATGAGATTGTACATCAGATCTCACTAAAACAGTCAAAAGTTCAGCTAATTCTCCCATGCATTTCCCAGTCTGTTGCCCAAAGCAAATCATGTCTTGAAGCTCAAATTCTCTGCCTTTGTTAAAAGGACATAGAAGTCTCTGAATGTAACTGTTATCTTACAAATATTTAAATATTAATAAAAAATCTTGTGTTTTCTGATATTAATCTGTCTTTCATTAGTTGACTTCTCAAACTCAAAGAACTTAATTTAAAAAATAGAGGGAAAGTTTTCCTTCCTGGCAAAAAATTGTCAGGAACAAAATTAGAGATCAGTTTCCAAGTTCATTTTCATTCAAATATACTTGAGGTAAAAGGATACATTAGAATTATATATGTATGTGTGTGTGTGTGT